GACATCATCTTTTTTTTTCTTTTTTTTCCCACATGAAGTAGACAGTCACTGTTAGATACATGAGAATTTAAGATTGCAAAAGAATCTTGGCAAGTGTAGTAAAGTTTGGTGCATTTTCACTTAAAGGGAATGATCCTAAACTAAATAATCTTCTCTATTTTGTCATTATGGAAAGAGAATTCCCCAAGGATTTTTGTGTGTTAACTCAGTAGTCAGAGGACATAAGTAAATAGCTTGTAATAAAGTTTATTAATATTAAGATATAGTTTACTTTCACATGTTAAGGGTTCTGAGTTATAGATGTTGTGAAAACCAGTCCTCCTTTCTGCAGATTAACTCCAACAGATAATCAAACTCTTCTCCATTTCATTTTGCAGAATGTCTTGCTGCTCTATTATGCACAGTGGTGTGGATTCTGTGCTTCTCTTAATCACATCTTCATTCAACTTGCTCGGCTTTTGCCTCCAGATAATTTCACTGTGGCAAGGTAAAAAATTCTAATTTCATCTCTCCAGAATAAAGTAAGATCATTGAGGTCATCAGCCTAGAAAATAATTACTTTTTTTTCTCTCTACAATCTTGCAGTAGTAGATGTGAATGTCATCTGCCTCATTTCTCTTTGAACACAGTATTTTGTTTTCCTTTGTATAAATTTGGTGGTTTTCCATCTCACTGCAGTAGTTATCTAGTTTAATTAAAACTAATTTTTAAACAGTGCAATTAATCTTGAAGCTTCCTAATTTCAAAAAGTGAATCAGTAACTTTTCCCCCTGTATGATAACTTGTAGCAAATATTAATATGCTGTACTGCTCCGTGTGAGAAATTATTTGAGAGGCAAAATGCATCTTGTTGTGGGTTTTTCCTGGTGGGCAGCCGAGCATCACTGCTGCCTGTGCACTTCCCTCCCCATTCCCAGTGGGATGGGGAAGAGGGAGGAAGAAGAAAAGCAAGAAAACTTGGAGGTCATGTTTAACCCAAACATTCTTGCTCATGTATTTGATAAGATCAGTATTTACAACATCTGCTCTGCTTGCATCTTTGTTTTATTCTGATGGAACTTACTCCAGGAGGCAGCAGGAGATGTACAGAAAAAACAAGTCAATTAAAAATCTGGGGTCTCATCACCTGTTTATAGTTGCAGCTTTATTCCCACAGATGTGATGCTATTCTCAAGCCTACACCCCTTCTCCTTCCCAACTTTGAAGTTCCCTCATTTGCTCCATTGTTTTCACTGCAGTATTACTGATGTGATCATCTGCTTTTTGTAATTAATAAGAATTTTATTTGTGATCAAAGAAACTCTGAAATGCAGAGAGAAATGTAACAAGCAGTTGAACAAGTGTTTAATTCACAAAATCTTGTATTCCTTTCTACACAGAGCTTTAGAAAAAAAATGTGCCATTAAGAATGTGCTTGTCCTTTGAAGAAGCAAAAGTAATTTACTCCCCAAACTACTTGAGGAAACAATATTAATGGAGTTGTACTTGAGGAACAGATTAATGAATAGAAATAACTTCAGTCTCCTGTTGAAACTGTTAGGGAAGTCTGTCTCAGGGAAGGAAGGTGTGTACACAGTGAGGGTGTGCACATAGTGAGCAACTGCAGTTTAACTGCTGGGTGAGAGCTGTTTTTTCTAGGGGGAAAAAAAACCCACAGATATTTGTCAAATTGAGATTCATCATCTTGAATATTAGTAGCTAATTCTGCTGACTCATGCACACATTTAACTTTCACAGATACTTACACTTCCTTCTTCCCAGTCTCTAAAATGGTGTTTTATAAGAAGATACAGATTGTTCATCTGCCTGTTCTCTTCACCAGTGTGTCTTTTCTTAACAGAATTGATGTAACTCGAAACGACCTTCCCTGGGAATTTATGACAGACCGTCTCCCAACCATTTTATTTTTTCCTCATCAGAGGTAATGTAATTCTTTTCCCTGTGGATTTTTAAATTTCATTGTACTAAGTTACAGTAATTAGCTGGTTACATGTCTTAATAAAGAAAAAAGCCGAACAGTAATCCATTTCCATATATTGCATTCTTACTTCATGCATGTTCTAATTCTAAAAAACCCCACCAACAAAACAACAAAATAACCCAGCCAACAGTCACAGATTTCCATCCTTCTCCCTCAAGAACCTTAGCAAATGGTAATTCAGACTACTGGTGCTGTGTAGTTACCACAAAATTTTTAAACCCATGCCTTAAGTTTTGCAATTCTAAATTCACGGTTTAGTTCAGCACAGAAATAGTTTCATTTATATCAGTTCTGAGTCACCTCAAATTCAAACTGATCATTTCCCTATTTCCTTTCATAGGTACTCATTTTGTCTTGGTCTCTTTTAAAAAGCAGTTCCAGACTGTCTCTGGAGTGACAGACCGAATAGTGTAGTAAAATTGGTTTTTTAATGTTCCAATTGGTTTTGTAGAGGTCCCTTACCTCTAGTCATTGTTTTCATTCCTGCTTTTCCTCTCCAGTGTATTTTATATTTTACTGCATGTAGGTAATGAATAAAATTAAGTTCTGATAGTGTTTGTAGTATCCATAGCACTCCCAGAATAGTCATGTATTCCTTTTGGATATAAAGGCACCCCATATTAAGGTTTTCTGTGCAGCAGCTTATCCATTTGCCTTATGAGACAATTTTTGCAAATTAACACTTCTCAATTTCTTTCCACCGCATGCTGTTAATATTTGGTTTTGCTATTTGTTTTAAATAGCCTCTTAGCTTCTTTCATACAGACTGTGGTTTGGATCAGTAAGAAAGGAAGATGATGTAGTAAAATATCAGCACGGTGTAATGAGTCAGTTTTGATTTAGTGTAGACTATTTCTTGCCTAAATGATGTCATGATTCATTAAACTTGGATGGGAGCTGATTGTCAGCTGAGAAGCTGCTGATGGTAATTAAAAGAGTAACTTGGTGGATCACCAGAAGTCTGCAGGGGAGGGAAAGTCATGGTGCTTAATCTTTGAGAAGCAGCTTAATTTTGATGAACAGGAGCCTCACGTGTTTAAAAGCAAACTGCTCCTTGCAATGCCTTTCAGATGCTGGAACACACTAAGCTCCTGTTTCCAGGATAACATCTATAGGGTCAGAGTAGTCATTTCCCAGCAGGTAGCTCTGTAGATCTGTACTTCAATTCTAACAATACATGTAAAATTAGGAACACTTAAATGTTATGCTTAGATAAAATTATCATTGCTTACCTATCTGAATGTTTTACTATAACTTGTTAATGTCTTTCTAGGAAGGAGCAAAGTGTGAAGTTCCCTGAAGACTTTTCAGTTAACCTTCCCAATCTCCTTAAATTTATTTTACATCACTCAAGTCTTTCTGCATCAGAGCCCTGTACCAAAGAGTGCCAACATAAAGAGTCAGTTCTGCAGCAAGGACACATCTCACACTTGGAGAGAGAAATTCAGAAGCTGAGATCAGAAATCAGTGCCCTCCACCAGGCCCATGACCAGCTGGAAGCACAGCTTTCTGAAGCTCGGAGGGAGGAACAGAGACTGCAGCAGCAAAAACACACACTGGAAAAGCAGCACAAGACTCTGCAGCTCCACAGTGAGCAGTTACAGGCCACATATGACCAGAAGAATCAAGAATTGTTAGAAATGGCTGAAAAGCTTCAAGAATTAGCTGATGCATCAGAAAACCTCCTTAAAGAGAATGCTTTACTGAGAATTCTGGTAGCATCGAGGGAAGGAAAGCTACAGAGCAGAGATGAACTTAAAGAATCCCTTCAGTCTGAGCAAACACTTTCTGAAGATAACGATATATCACCTTCAGCAGCTACTGCCATGTTAGAGGAAAAAAGGACTGATAATACTGATACCATAGAGACAGAGCACAGTAGTGGAAACAGGACAGAATGATTGCTTACATAAAGTCAAATGTTTGGGTAGGTATTTATGCAAATTTTATTGACAGTCATTGTAAATAAAGACTTCTTCCCCCACATGATCTAGGAAAAAAACAATCAAATGGAATATTTTTGTATACTTGAACAACTTATTAGATACCCCAATCTTGAGAGAAGAGGAGAATGAAAAACACTTTCTGCACTTTACTATTGCACTAACTTGCAAACACCTATCCATTTAATTTAAAGATGCTGATTTTTAGGGGCAGCAGTGTGAAGCACCTCTGACTAAGGACCAGTTATTTTTCACTGGCTTTCTCTTACAGCTGCTAGAAAAGAAATTAGACCTTTGATTTATACTTTTCCATAATTTCTGAAGTTTGCCCTTGACACTGCATTCTCTTTGCTGAATTAAAATAGAGATACTTCATCTGTGTAATCAGTAAACTTGAATGGACAAAGTCATCCTGCTACAGCTGTTCTGTTCTAGAACTTCAGCACTTTGTATCACTTTTGTATCCCAGTATTCTGACTGTCCTGAAACCCACAAGAGCCATGTGTGAACTGTTCTCTGCTGAAAACTAAAGAAAGTCTTACTGAATTAATCCTTTTCTCTTTGATTTACAAGAGGTCTGGAATACAGCAATTGAAGTGTACAGATCTGGCTACACATGCAAGTCTCAGGAGAGCAGGATCTTAAAAAGCATGTGTCAGGTTAAGAACATCTATCAGCTGTACCCCATATGTTGTACTCAAGAGGCAACAGCAGGAGCTTTTTGCTACTGACAGCATTCATTTTGCTTCAAATTACAGCCTTCAATTAAAAAAGAAAAAAAAAAGGGCAAATGTAGCACTAAAAATGCAATTCAACATCTTAGAGTAGAAGGGAGGACATATAAAGTTCTCAAGCAAGCTTGCTAGACCTTAGCTACTCCATGTGTAGAGGTATAAGAAGCAAGTTGAATGCTTCCTCTAGAGCTGAATTAAGGCTAGACAATTAAGTGTTTAAAAATACCAGTATGCAAAGGAGGCCATGTATAAAGTAATAGAAAACAGGCCAGTGGCCTCAAAGCACGTGTGCCTACACTAAGAGTTTAGAACATGTAAGCTGCCATTGGTTGCTCAGTGTTGTCCCCCGTCCTCCCCCCAAACCTTTGAGGTCCAGAATGTCCCATTTAACACATTTTTACAGTACTGTAGCTGAACTCTAGCACAGAGCAGGAAATGTATGTTCTCATCTGGAAGGACTGGGCCCTTGGTAGCTAAAAACTTCTACAAACTGACCAGCAGTCTCCCTTGCCCCTATTACCAAGAGTAGGAAAGACTGAAGCTTCTCTTGTGAAGTACAGTTAAATCCAGGGAGTTATCTACAAGATACATTAACTGAATTCTATAGGTGACTGTTTGTGGATTAAAATGCCTTTTTATAACAGGCTGTTAACATACATCCTACCTGCTAAGTACACAAACCAGGGTTCTAGGAAAAATTCATACTAGTTGCACTTAAGCCCATTTTGATAAGGAACCACTTCTGCAGTTTCAGCACACAGACTACAGAAGAGAAAAGCCTGCTCTACTGCCATTTCAGACTCCTGGAAACCTTCTGGACCATCCCTGAGGATTCAGTATCCATCATTCGTTCCCAGGTGGGAATCCATTAGCATGGCAGTTTCTTTGCAGTAGGCTACATAGAGAACTCAGTTCTAGCAGCCAAAACTTAACCTAGATAGCTGCAGCTAAAGGAAATCCCTTCCTTGTAGCTCCTGTTTCCTCCCTCAGCATATTACTGAAGGCTTATCCCTTTTCAAAGTAAATACTCTGCACCAGTCCAATAAACTGTTAAAAGTAGGACTTCTGACTTTACAGCTGTGCACTCAATCCAGTAGCAGAAGCAAGGTATAACTGCACATTTGGTTTTGAAGGTTTGGGATCCCATCCATGGTTGTGGTTCAGGAGACCCCTTGTGTATTATATACAGTTGCATCATATTATTCCCATATGCTACAGAACACAAAGCAAAAGTTTCTGGTGGCCTATTTACAGTTCACAATTGTAAAGTAGTTCACATTACAGTAGTGGCTCCATCAAAATAGGCTCAGCTAAACATTCAAGTAAAAAAAACTGGTAGTAGTCTCTTCACACCAGTATATCCCTGTGCCCATTGCCGGCAATGGACGTTATGCCAGGCGAGTCAGCTCCTGTCACAGAGGAATTAGGATACACAGTTGATGCAAAGTGCAACTTTTCAGTGCATGCAGTTGCAAACAAAGCTTATTTAGTTCTCATCAGGGTGTTTTCTGATGAGTGGTGTGCACGTGACCAGGTTCTTCACAGTATAGATTCTTGTGCTGGTTACACACGTCAGTCCATCGACACGTGTTGCTCCAGGTTAGCTGTGAACTTCGGTGCCGTTGGGAGTCAGCTTAGCTTTCCTCTCCACACAGGGTCCTTTAGCAGAGTACTGCACCAGCAGGAAGGGCTCTTTGGTTTCTCCTTCGCCCACAATGCTTTCCTCATCCTCAGACTGGCTGAGTTTCTGCAGCCTGAGGTAGCACCAGCAGCCCAGGATCAGGGCCCCCAGCGCCGCGATGGCGATCAGGATCACGATCACAGTCACCACGCCCGTGGAGGGGCTGTGATCTGTGATAGACATGGCCAGGAGCTCAGACTCTGCACTTCTTTAGGGGAGATCCTTCTGTCCTCACTGTCAGTCTTGCTGCATCTTCAAACTCCTGCAGTGGAAAAAATAACCAATGAAGTTGTGCGGTTTCACCATACTCAGCAACATTATATTCATGGCTGGTATCCTTCACATGGCACGTGACCCCCCTGCATTCACTGGTTTGTGCTGCTCACACTCACAGAATCACGGGATCTTCTTTCAGCTCTTGACATGCCTGTCAAGATAGCACATGGTCAGCCTACTAAGAGGTAACAATTTTTACTAGAAGATATGAGACAAGACATTGGTAAGGTATTTGTGAAGGGATTTGCAATGCTGATGCATTACTGTAAGTCTGTCCATAACACTGGTCTGCTTAGAAGGGCTGACTACATGGTAATTAATTGTTCATTGAGCTGATAAAAACCAACAGATGTTGCTTTATATATATATTTCATAAGAAGCAGGTAGAGCTATATTTATTGAAGACTAACAAAACACAATGGGAAGATGATTATTTTAAGCTCATGCTCCTCTTGGGGGCTTTAAAACAATAAGAGCAAGGTGTTGTGTTAGGACTGCAGCTGAAATTGGAACAGAGGCAGCAGGCAGGAAAATGGGAGAGAAGAGCTACAAGACTTCCTTAGTCTGCTGTAGTTTTAGCAGGACAAAAATACATAGGTAATGTCTTTTGCTACTTCCACTTCCAAATTTAAGGGGTCATGTGAGCCTTGTCTTCAGTGTCAAAGTTATTGTTTACAAAGCTGGTAGCTTCACTTCCCTTAAAGTAGGACATACGACAAAGTCAGTCACTCGTTACCTTTTCTTTCCTGTACCCCAGCTCTTTAACAAAACAAACTCGGGAAAGACTTTAGTAGAGACTGAAGCCAGTCTTCCCCAGGAGCATCTCTTACCTCTGTACTGCTGTAAACATCAGGTTAGGGCTCAACACTGCAATGTCAGGTACAACAGGAGGTTCTAAGGTCAGATGCAAGTGCACATCTGCATTTCACCTGACCTGTAGCCACTGACTGGCAGTGGAGTAACAGCTTCCAGCTGCTCTAAGTGCCAGTCTGTTGAGGGTAACATTTTTCCAGGAAAAGCTCTCCCTCACTGTTGCTGTCATAGTCTCTCACTGCAGCATCTTCATCCAAACCCCTCAGGAAAAGCCAGTCTTACCCAACCTTGAGACAGAACCATTAGTTTATGGTGTTACCCACTGCACTAGAAGCCTCACCAGTGTTTCAACAGGAGTCAAGGCAATTACAGTGCAGTACCTTTACTAAGAGAGCTCAAGCCAGAGACTAAGTTCATTCCCTGCTGTCTCATGGAATGAGAGACCCACGTGCATCACCATTTCAGCAAGGACACCTCCACTACAGGCAAGTTTAGCATTAGGGTCCAGTGTCACATACTCTGGTTACATTTCCAGCCCTGTAAACTACAGCAGTCAATAGCTCATAGTGTACCTGACACAACCAGCCAAGTTCTGCAGACCCAATTTTGCCCAAGTAATAAAACCAAAACTGACCACACCACACCCCCTCAGCAGAGCTGTGCCCACTGCAGCTGGAGAGGTGTATGATTTGTCATAATCACCTTGCTTCTGCAATGCTTATTCAACACAGGGTGATCAGCTGAGGGTGATTAAGAGTGACTTTCATGTAGTTCATTTTCCTCGGGGCATGTCTGAACAGCAGCACTGTTTGATCAAGCCAAAACAGTACAGCATCAGCAGAAAAGAGAGTTTACTTTGCTTCCCATGCAGGCACTGCACAGCCACGTTAAGGTCTCTTCTGCAGCTTCCACCTTTGTTAGCAGCAAACCTACTGTTTCTCTACAGCAGCTTGGTGCAGCACATGTTATGTTGCACAGTTACTGTCACCTAGAAAATAGCTTTTAGAAGTGGAAACTAGCATTGCAAATGCTACCCCTCTGCCAGTCTTCGAGTGAATAGACAGCATCAGCTATATAAATGATGAAACTTTGCACATCACCATCCTCTGTATCACCAGGATCTTTAGGCAGTCTCGGTTCAGGATGCATGAGACTGATTTATACTTACTAAACAATTTTTAGTCCAAATTTGAGTGCAACACAGCAACTTACACATTCCTCTTAAAGATCTTTCTTGGACAAATCCATAGGTTTTTAACCTTTAAAGTTCCAACTGTTTTTTATTTGATTAAAAACTCAAAGAATTTCACTTCTCAATGAGATAAAGTGTAGACATCATTCCTTCTCTGCAGGCATATCCTTCTCTTCCCACTCAAGGACTTTAGAGTCAGCACCCTTTATAAAGTCATGTATTAAGCATCTGTACAGATTTCCAATGGCACAAACCACCAGTTAATAGGGCATGATAGTAGCTCTGAATTGCTGGAAAGCTACAGTGTTGTTGATAGCTCACACTGCTCTTCCTGGCTTTAGGTCACTGAAGCTCTCCTGCAGCCTTAGTGCTATCCTTGGCACAGAATATTTGCATGTTGTAACTACACTAGTAAGAACTTCCAGAGAGGCCTTTGGTTTCTGTGTTGTTTTCTAGATACAGAACTCCAACCTTGCTACTCTTTCCACCAGCAACTGACTGAAATCCAGATTAAGCTGTCTCCATAGTCTGCTTCTTGACAGGAGAAACATTGCATTATGCAGAATCCCCTTAAACTTATCCAGAGGAGATAAATAGTTTTCAGACTCACTTTCTCCTTAAAGCCTACCTGAGCTAAAACCCGTGAGCATACCAAGAGTGGCACTGACTTCCCTTATCACTTTTACTGTGAGATATTATGAGCTGTAAATTCCTCATCTTCAAAGGGATTGCCAACACCATCCATGTGTATTTGTGGCACTTGTAGTGCTCTGTCCCTTCCCAGCACACTTGCTATCCAAACAAGCACCTAAGCATATTTACTCATTAGCCAGATTAGTGAGATTCACTGCTGTGAACTCCAAATAGCCTATTTCAGTTCTTATACCAATCAAGCAGTGAAAACATCAGCTAGAAACCATTTTTCCATAAATAACTGCTTCTTTTCTCTTTTTGCTTAATAACCAGCTTCTACTCAGAAATTTCACTTGTGAAGTTTTATTATCCAATTCAGAAGCTGTAACTAAAGGACAAACAGGCACAGCTTAAATTGCAGAAGGCTGTTAGGGGACAAATGCAATGCAAGGCTGGCATTAGTTTCTAAACCGGGCTTTTCATTATTCCAGACATTGTGCTGCTAAGTTCACTAATTGTAATGCCTGCAGGCATGTTTCTAACAAGAAATACTCCTACTGTTCAAGGCAAAGCTATAGGAAAAGGCTTCAGATCTGCTACAGTTCACTCAAATATACCAAAGTCCTCATCAAGCAGTTATGGTCAAGGTGCAAATATTAAGTTTTTGGGGGAGGAGAGGTGAAGAGGTGGGAGCTGTTTTATTACAGTATTCCACCTTAAGTAAGTTGAATGGGGCAGGGCAAAGGAAATGAGAATAAAACTACCAGAGTGACCTTCAGCTTAAAAAATTGAAAAAAAAAAAGGCTGCTTAGTTAAAAAGCCTCCATGTTAAGAGAGAGAAAAACAACAGCTTGTAATCAACACACTTGTAATAGTGAACAATGGCTTCTCCTGTATGTGCCACTAAGATTGCTTTTGAGGAATGCTGCATACTCATCACAATAGCATCCTTATTGCCAAGGGAAGACAAGGGGAAAACCCACTGGGGAAATCTGAGCTGTACTTCTACCACTGGCACACAAGTGTTTACAGCACCCACACTATCCAGCCACAGAGAGCGAGGCCTTTACAGTACAGGAGTGCTCAGACTTCACCACTTCCAAATAGAAAAAGTGGGATCACTGTTATTCTTCATTAACCCCAGCTTATACCACCTCTTTCTGATAATGCCAAGTTACCTTGCACAAGCGGGGGCTTGGCCAGAGGCTATTTTAGAAGCAGGGAGCTGTTTAGTAGGTGCCTTCAGTGCAAATCATCTTTTCCCAACCCTTATTATACTTCTGATGAGGAATAAAAAAAGCAGGGAAGGCAGCTAAAAAAGTCTTTTCTGTGGCTAATCAGTTGTAGACAGTATTCCAAGAACGTGGCATTCAAGCAACTGCTAGAAAAAAACAAATACCTAACAGTGTTGACTGAACAGCAGTTCCCACATGAAGTGTAGTAGTACCTTAGACTTAATCAAGACTCACTTTCAAAGCTTTACACCAGAAGTTAGCATTTTACAGAAGACAGTAAGATGGAGAGATGAGAGAGGAGCAGTCTAAGATGTTCCTCAGACACAATGACAGTTTCAAGAGCAGACAGACCTCAGTAGCACAGCAAGTGGAGTAGGTTTGTGCTGTAACTGCCTGTCAGGCAAGTCAGCCGGTTAATGCAGAACTAGAAACAGGCTTCTCGTGTTAAAACCACATTTGCTCCAGAGGCAATTGCATGGCTGGGAAAACATCTGTCAAGACTGCAGATTTGTATCTGTCAGTGTCACATCCACACGGAGCTCTAATGGAAGGTCTGTCCTGACACGATAACAGAGTCACTTCCGACATTCCATTACCAGCAGTACCGTGCCGTACACATCCCGTGGCGTGGCATAATTCTGATATATTAGAAAACTGCTGAGATACCAACTTTGTTTGCTGATAAAACCCCGCCATTTTTCTATTTACATTCAAAGTAGTTCTCCAAATGTGTGAGGTTTTTTTTTTCTATGGGCTCTATCTAACAGCAACTAGACAGCACCCATATGTTTCTGACAGTCAGGCACTTGTTATACTCAGCTCAACTCTTCAGACAGCAAGTGCCCCAGAAGTTAATCACGTACCTGCAACAAGCAGCTCAGGAGCTCAGGGTAGGAGCTGTCTACACAGTTTCAGAATCACCTTATTAGAAAAGCGAAGGTCGCACTGCTTTTGGATCTTGTCTGGCAAGTCTTCTTCCTCGCTCCTCCCCTGTGGAGAAGGATCACATTGGTCTCCAGCTGCTCCGCATCCCGAGTCCCTTTCACTCCTGGCTTTCCCATTACATGATCGCGTCTAACCATCAGCTTTTGCTACAGGCGGTCAGGGAAAGATCCCTTGCTGCTTCACCTACCTGCTAATCAAGGCAAGAGTTTCACAAGTGGTTTACAGTTCTTCAGGTCTATTCAAAAGCAGCATCTACTGACAGATGCAGATGTCTCTACACCTGCATTCGTGTCGGGAAAAGGAACAGCGCGAGCCGGCACGGTACACTGCAGATGCTCAGACCGAGCAACGAGACTCAGTCTGAACAATTTGCGCTGCCGTGAGCTCCAGGGTCAGTCCAGACTGCAGCACGTACCCAACTCCTCGCACGGAGCGAGCAGGGACGAGCCTCCCCGGCCGGGAGGAGCCCGGCGCCCACCGCGAGCTGCCGCTGCCGAGCCGTGAGGCATCGCCTTGTGACTGCAGCGCGGCCGCACAGCGCCGGGGCCGAGCCCGGGGAGCGGGGGCCAAGCCAAGCACGGGCGGCCGGGCCGGGGGAGCCTCGAGCCGCCCCCGGGGCCCACGCGGGGCCTGCGGGGCGCTCGGAGCGCGGCGGGGACCCGCCCGCAGACACAAAGAGCGGGCAGGGGCGGCCCAGGCCCCGCGGGGGGAACGCGGGCGGCCCCCGCCCGCCTCACCGACCCCCGCCCCGGCGGGTCCGCCCGAACCCCGCACGGCGCCCAGCGCAGCCCAGTCCAGCCCAGCCTAGCCCAGCCCAGCCAAGCCTACCCTCGCACCGCCCCCTCCGCTCGCCCCGCAGTCACGGTCCCGCACGGCCCCCGCGCACCCACCGGCCTCGCCGCGGCAGCTCCTTCCCCGCCCGCGCCGCCGCCTTTTACCGGGGAACGGGCGGCGCCGAGCGCGGCCCGGGCAGCAACAGCTGACGGCGGGGCCCGCTCGGCCCGGCCCTCCCTCCGTGACAGCGCCGGGCCCCGCCCCGCCCGGGCTTGGAGCCGTGGGATTGAGGAGTCACAGCATCGTGGGTCACAGATTCATGGAATCACAGAATCATGGAATCACAGATTCATGGAATCACAGACTCCTGGAATCATAGACTCATGGAATCATCAAGGTTGGAAGCGACGTTTAAGATCATCCAGTCCAACCATCAACCCAGCACTGCCACTGTAACCCCTAAACCACATCACCCAGTGCCAGATGTAGGTGCCTCTTGAATACCTCCAGGAATGGTGACTCCACCACCTCCCTGGGCAACCTGTTCCCGTGCCTGACCATCTAAAGAATGAACATTTTTTTCTAATATCTAATCTAAATCTCCCATGTCTCAGTTTGAGGCAATTTCTTCTATTCCTTGCAATGGGGGCACGGCAGAAGAAACTGCCCCCCCCTTACTGCAACCTCCTGCAGATGGGCTCCTCCCTGAGCCTCCACTTCTGAAGTCTAAATGAACTCAGCTCCCTCAGCACCTCTGTGATCCTGCAAGAGGCCTCTTACTGGCTCTCTGAGCAGCAACGGGGCAAGAGTGCCCTTCCCACAGAGGCCACCCCAGACTACCGTGGTGTTTGGTAACACTGCTGGCCACCACCAACCCCAGCCAGTCTTCATTCCGTGGGCTCCGAGCAGACAGCAGGACCAACCTTCCTGGCTCAGTGAGTGTGTCTGTCTCAAACATCCAGTAAGATCATTCCCAGTATGCCCATTATATTTAGTAATTCATGCTGTGTTGGGGCAGTAACTACAAAAATGCATTAGGAAATTGCCCAATACAGGGTTTTGTCACCCTTCCGCTGAAGTTGGTCCTTATTAGAGCAAAAAAGGAGTATTGCAACTTCTCTGATGTGGTATAGTTGCTGGTAAAACAGATCCCAACTTGTCTGAGGTTCATGTAAAGTCTTAAGAGGTTTCTGACAAAATGAGTTTTAAGGGAATGGACTGTGACAGAAGATCAAGTTCAGAGGTTGGCATGACTTGTATAAAAACCTGGTTTACAATACAGTTGCTGGTTTATCTTGTTGTGGTTTAACTCCCAGTCAGCAGCCAAGCCCTCCATCAGCAGAATGAGGCAGAGAATTCGATGAGTTTACTCTTTCACTCACTTTTAAGTAAGAAAACACATGGGTTGAGATAAAGACAGTTTAATAGGTAAATCAAATGCAAAGCAAGGAATTCATTCACCACTTTCCATGGGCAGGCAGGTGTTCAGCCATCCCAGGAAAGCAGGGCTCCATCACACCTAACAGTTACTTGGGAAGACAAATGCCATCACTCTGAACATGTTTTCTTCTTCTTCCTCAGATTTATATGAGCATGATATCATATGGTCTGGAATATCTCTTGGGAATATCCCAGCTGTGTCCCCTCCCTGTGCACCCCCATTCTCCTTGCTGGTGGTGTGGGGTGAGGAGCAGAAAAGGCCCTGTCTCTGTGTAAGCCCTGCTCAGCAGTAACTGAATCATCTCTGTATTATCAACCCTTCTTTCAGAGCAGATCCAAAAGGTAGCCCCACACTAGCTACTGTGAGAAAACCCTCCCTCTATTCTAGCCCAAACCAGCAGAATTCCACAATTTTCTATGAAGTAAAAACAATTTTTCCTTCCATTAATGCAGTGCCCACCATAAGCATGTGACAAAGTGCATGGTCTCTTTCCATTCTCAGTCAGTGAAAAGCTAAATATGACCCAGTACCAGATGGGTGCCTCACCTCCTCTGCTTGCTCTCAAAGCCATCCAGACATGAATCGTCTTTTACTTGGAAGCTGTACAGCCCCTTTCACACATGTTGGTGTGGCAGGAGACCTTCCTAGGGTGACAGGTAGCTCTGGACTGCTCCTGAATCCTATCCAGCCAGTTTGCAGCATTAACAGAGCAGCTGATTCATTGTAGATGCTGCCCTAAGCACACCATCTTAGAGTTTCATTTAATCAAAAATGCCCAGTGGTGTGGAATACCTGAGAGTTAAGAACATTTTAGAAAAGTCATTGTTTAACGTAAAATTAATGGTTTATTTAAGCTTTGGAACTAAGTGTAGTGCAGCTTCAGTTTCTACTGTCTTTATGCATCAACCACCACAGAAGAGATGATAAAGTACTACTAAATGTATCCTTAAAAGTTCAGAATCTTTTTTGAAAGCAGTAGAAGAGCAAGCACAGGCACTGGGTTACTTTCACTGTTGATAGCTAATGGTCTGGGCTGTCTGGCAAACCAGTATTGGCCATGGCAGCAACCTTCTGTCAAGTGAGCAGATGCAGAGGTAGCCTTTGGGCCAGGACTTTAATAAGACATCTAAGTCCCATTTAGATACCTGAATCTCTACTGAGATTCTTGTTTTACTTACATAACCATGGGTGGAGTCTCCCTTGCATGCAAGTGTCCCAATCCACTTCAGTGAGAAGGGTCATGGCCTTTTGTACAAAAACCATGAATGCAATTACGACAGAGCTGACTGGTAAAAGCCATCCAGTAATAGCACAGGCCTGAAGAGAAGAACAGCAATCTCTTTTGTCATAATTTGAAAACTTTTTGCCTTTGAGAAAGTTTTAATAGTGATTTTGTAGCCCATATTTAGTAAATGGTGCAGAGAACAAAGCAGGTTCATTCACTTCGGTTTTTTATCTTTGTAAATGGGCTGCTTGCTCTGTGCAGGCTTGTATGGGGAATTTTCAGTCTGCTGTGGAGAAAGCAGAAGGCTGTTAATCCTTCAAAATTCCTTAAAAGCTTCTCTTGCTTTGCCCCCTTCATCCATCCCCAGTTAATACTGAACAGGGGCAAGGCTTTAGTGACCTCAGATCCTCACAGCTGGGGAGCAGAAAGAACCTGCTTCTTGCTTTGCCAGGAGCTGGTGAAGAACACTGGCATGTTCAGCTAAAGCAGCTGAGTAATTGCTCTTCAACTGTGCTAGGGATGAAAAGGTGAGAGTTTTCTCTCATTTATTTACTGTTGCTCCTTAGCTGTGCACTAATAATGTAAAACTGTGAACATGCAACATGCTAGTACAGGGAACAGTTTTCTCTTCCTTGAAAAAGAATGGCAAGTTTATCAGTAAGATTCTTCCTCAATATTCATAACTTATATAAAGAGATTTGACAATTTTCTGGATTTATACTATCATTTGAAGCATACCCTCATGCTTTGATGTTTTCATCTCACAAGCACTCAACATTTTAAAACAATACATGTGCTTATGGAACTCACTGGGAATTATCTGCGGAAGAATTCTGGGGTCAGTTGTAGCCACTGTCACAATCATCTGGTTCTGCTGGAGCCACTCTGACCCCCAGCATAGTTTCCAGCAATGTTGATTTTAAGTGTTACTAATTATAGAGATTCTTTGGGTTCTCTTCAGGGACTAGACCACTGCCAGAGAAATTTATGATCAGATTAGGATTTGCCTGTAATTTGTTTTGTTAGAAAAAAAATGTTTTCCATCGTTGCAAATTCACATCACACTCTCCTTGTCTGCTAATGTGGCTATTTAAATGTACTTATTTTTGGAGTTTCCTTCTGTCAGTCACACCCTGTGTCCTCTAAGTATATTCTTTGTATATCCATTACCTTTAAATTTTTAACAGCTACTGTCAATATTTGTTCCTTTAATTAGGGCCATATGTTGTGTTAGTTCCTTAATGGTGGCTAGTAAAATAAAACATGTGCTTCCTCCATTCCCACTTGGAAAGACAATGAATATGTAGCAGATGTTTATCACACATATAGTATCTGTTCAGTTTTCTGCTGTTTTGTAGCACTCCTTGGAGCAAACTGTGTTCAGTAATTATCTTTGCACTCTAGAAAGTTTATCAGAGAAACAGACTACTTCTCACAGGACATTTTTCTGGAGGATGTTTTAGCTGTTCCTTAGAAACAGCTGGTTTGCAGGCCCATGGGGGGATTGTTAAAGAGGACAAAATGCCAGTCTCTGTTCGAGGAGGGTGAGTGACACCTTCACCTTTACTTGCAGGTCCACTGGAGAGCACATGCACAGAGAGAAGGGGACCAAGCAACTTGAGCAGGTTTTACCTTTTCTTATTTTGCCTGACAGAAAGGAATGAGAAATTATTAATCCAGCTCTATACATGAAGAGGAATGAAAGTATATGAAGAGTTTGTACAGGTCAAAGTTTAATTTTTAAAAGTTTTGCACAACCCACAGGGTAGTACTAAAACAAGACTTGCTTCCTCTACCAGGGTATGTTGTACATGCCCCAGAAGCTTTTCTAGCACTCTGCTGAACCCAGTTTCCCATAGCCTTCTGTTTAAGAAAGCATCTGTTGGGTTTTGTACTCAGACATTCGTAATTGTGTAAATGACTGGCAAAGT